CACACTATGTAAATCATGGCTAATGAGCYCCTACTTGATCCTTGTTGATGAACTTCTGATCATTAATAGATTGAACAGAGAAACAGTGTCTACCTCAGGAAGTTTACAGGCAAATGACTTCCTTTTAGTTCTCCTTAAAGCTTTACATTTGGGCTAACTTTATCTGATTTATACCATGAGTAATCTGTTGTTCACTCACATACATTTGGTATTATTGGAGTTGACACCAGCTTKAATAATATCGATTACTGAGGTTACACGTAAGTACTACCATAGGTTTAATTTAACTGAACTATTAAATTGTTATGAGATGCAYTTGTGGGCACAGTTCCATCTTCCTCCAAAATAAATCTCTTAGAAGAGGMAAATGGGTCTTGCACATTCGTGAGTTTTGGAAGGGTATAGGTTTGATCTGAGCCTGCTTAATGAATATTTATTTCCAAGGAAAAACATCCATCATTGTCATTATCCTGCAGCAAAAATAGAAAAGAAGTGCATAAATTGTTCAGCAGCTGGTTGGGAAAGGTTTGAAATTAAATTGTCGTTGATTTTTTTTTCTCTGACAGATTTGCATGAATCAAATTACAGAACTGTCATGAATAGCTCTGTGTTTTAAAACCTAGCTTTTGATTTTTTTTTTTTCTCTCTCATTCAGAAAGAATCCATTTTAATTAATCCGTAAAAGGAAAAATGAGTTTATTTACAAGAATCAGTGGTAACAGCTTTGGACATTTTCTCCAAAGTAAATAAATTTAGTAAGACTTAAACATGATTGCCTATTATCAAAAAGGATAAATATTGAATGCAAATTACAAATTGCTAATATCAACTGTCATAGATAATTCAAGTACTGACTTTTTATATCAAAGGCACATGACATAGTAAAATATGAGGTTTTGCAGCAAAAAAAAACATGGTAGCTTCTAACATTTAGTAAACTAATACTTTAATGAGCACATTTAGTATATCCGCTGAAACCAGCTCATAGAAATGTTGTTCTCTTCATTTTAAGCTTTAGAGAGTRGAAAAGTCAGATAGAGAAACCACATCTTGTCACTTTATGTCATAAAGTGAGCATTGCAATGTCTACATCATCCTATTACAAGCTCTTAAGCATTAGGACACAGGATACCTCAGCTTTTCTTAATCACTGCACTAAAAGCATTTAACAATTTAAATATTACAGTTCTGTCAAGATGAAACTAGATTGTACAGAAAATCATGGTTCATAGATTGATGGATTAGTAAAATTGGCCTGTTATACTCTCAAAATAGGGCAACTGTTGTTATAAGCACAGATATTATTTCTGTCTGCTACTGATGTTCATATTGATGGAGTTCTCAGTCTTTGAGCTGCCAGTATAAAATTGSTTGTGATTACAATGGATTCCAAGGTATAAAATGCCTTCAGATTTTAACTATTCTTTCTTGCAATGTGCATTTCTAATGTTTCCTAAAAGTTAATTAATAATTCCTAAATTAGTGTAAAAACTTTCATGTATTCTTTTTAATATGGTTATATTGTTCATACTAAGAGAAAGCTTTCCTCTGTAATGATTTTTTCATGCAAGCTGCTTGACTAGTGGGAGATGTATACTCTGAAATCAATACATTGATTAACAAGAGAATAAAACACATATTTCTGTTTGCTAACATATAGRAAAAGTGTGTTAAAATGAAATAGTATACCTGAGTTTAAGAAKTTTGATTCATAACCATATGTGAAAAAGTTGTTGGTAGAACTTTTAARGAGCACTGTCATAGTCATGGCATAGTTATGCCTATTAATTAGTTAATTCTATTAACTGTTAATTCAAAATTTATTTCCTGAGGCTACTTGCATTATMTAATCATACTGCAAACCTGCAGTAGGGCACATACATTATTTTTTCTTTTTTTTTTTTAATAATATTTTTAATTTTGGCAAGATAGAATATGATTATACATTTAGCTATCATATTTTTCAATGATGTAATAGTTTGAATATGGAAAGCCATCTGGCTCCAAGGAGGAGATTTCTTATRTATGTAAGATATATGTATATTTTGCATAATCACTCTATCAATTTTGTTTCTAGTTCATCTTCTTCTCTATTTCCCACGGGGCTTTTATTTAGTTCATTAAATATTGCAGTGGTTTCTGTGTTTTTTTTGTTTTTTTTTTTTTTTTTTTTTTTTTTTTTTTTTTTTTTTTTATAGATATTTTAATGCTCTGATTCATCTCTTCTCTTCTTTTTTTCCTTTGTTTAGTAATCCTTCATCTAGTGATAGATAAAACAGGGTTTTTGCATGATTTTCTACTGTGTCATATTTCAGAATATAGGAATTTATTGTACACATCACACATCTAGGATTCTGGCAGATGGAATCCCCTTTCAGAATGGTTTATGAAGCCGGTAATATCCATACCAAATATTGTAACTCATAATTCAATACAGATWTAAAATTTGTAATTAATTTGTTKAACTTTTCCAGCTATCCATGATTACTGATAACTGCTGTTACTGGGTTTCATGTTAGTACAAAAAGCATGAAATATTGCAATGAATCTGCTATACATATATAATTATAAAGCGCATTCTGAAAATGTTTGTAATGACAAAAAAAAATGTATTTTTAAGTTTACACATTGGAATATGTATTTGGTGTGTACTAAGCAATTCTTATCAAGAAACATCACGTAACATGAAATTCAGAGTGATTTTCTGCTGCAGCTCAATAAAGCCCAATTAACCGTAGCTTGGAACTGAGTGTGCTCACATGGGCTCTCCAAATAGATCTGTCAGTAACACTGTGCTTGGTGACAGATTTGTACACAAATAGCCAAGGAACTGAATTTTTACAGGAAGTTGTCTTTCTTTGCAAGATAAAGACAAATTCCAGGTAGTGAAAATGAACTGGTGCTTGAGTCTCTAGTGCTCAGATTTTTCTTTTAAGACCATTGAGATGGATCAGTCCCTAAAGGGGACTGTCASTTCAGCAGCTAATGATTTTCTGTTATCCTTTTTTTCTTAGAAATTAAATCTTGGTGCACTTCTCTTAACCATGTTACAAAATCTCCCAAGGCATTGTTAATAAATAACTGCTTGAAGATCATTCTCTTCAGCATGAAAGATAGATGGGGAATGTTTGTGAGAGACATGAGTATGTGTGTACTCATATATATATACATGGTTTGTTTTTCTTCTTTTTTTTTTTTTTTTTTAATTTTTTATTTTTTTTTTTTTTTTTTTTTTTTTTTTTTTTTATTTCTTTTGGACATTCTTATACTCATTCTTATACTCATTTACAGCACATCAGCTGTATCTTGTGTTGTCTGTAGCAGCTGTGTGTTAAACAAAATCAGAAATCTGATGTAGGAATTGTGTACCTTGTTCATAGATCAGTAATTTTAAATATTTGGGGATATATCACCAATTCTGAAGTGCATAAATGTATTTCATCTTCTTTTAATATTTAGGAAATGTATCTGCTTGGTTGAAAAAGCATGCCATTTCAATATACATAGGGACATACATTACTCTTCATTTGGTTACTTAAACATGTTGAACACAAGAATTGCCTTCCTGGATATCTCAGATGAGCTGATATTCAGACTTACTGAAAACAAGTCCACTTCACTGGAGTGCTTAAGGATGTCCTGACAGATCTTAACATTTCAATTACATTTTCTCCTGTCCTTAATATGCAAATTTTTAGTCATGAGTGAGGTTTTGTGAAGATGCTGTCTCCTTTATATTCACGGGATATAATCTTGGAATATTTAGAGGTATTTTGTAGTTTTATCATCTGATGTATTCTTATATTCAGATTAATAACATTGAATACCTGAATTATCCATGTCCTGAGTGTGTAAAACAAAGATTTAAATAGGCCTGAGTAAGGAACACTGAGTGAGATGATTTTTCTGGGAAAGTCAAATGAGGTTTGTTGAGTAATTGCAGAGASCCAGCCAGCTTTCACTCCACATGATGGATTGCTGACAGGGAGGAAACATGTTCCTTATTGTGAATCATTCCTGAGACAAGACATCTACCATTCTCTTTTGATTTATAAATATTCATTTAGTCCGCTAAATGTAAGTCACATTTCTCAAGACGTAAAAATTCAAATTATTAGTCATATGGGGCTTTATGGAATGTTTGTTTATTTCCTCTTTTTCTTCTCTTTTTTTTTTTTTTTCCTCATTTTTTCACTTTTTTTCTCTTTTTTTTTTTTTTTTTTTTTTTTTTTCTCTTTTTTTTTTTTTTTTTTTTTTTTTTTTTCCCAGAAAAGAGTAGCATATTATAGTGCTAGAGCTATAGGAACCCTGAATATTTTTTATTTTGGTTTTGTGGGGTGTACAAATTTGTGTACAATTATTTCAGTGCTTTGACTTCACATTTAGGTAAAGACTTCAAGTCTTATATCTTACAAAATGGTAAATGCAGTGTAATAACTTTAATTAGTTAAAAAAATTGTAACCACATTTTGTCACTTCAAGAGTTATTCAGATTTTTATTAAGTTCTTAGGGTTTTTAAAATATTTATTCAGCAATTTGGAGGAGAAAATTACTTATGTAATTATCCCTACCTCTCTGTCAATTCATATAGGTACTACCAGTAATATACCAGTACACTTTGTCATACCCATGGTTCTAAAAAACTGTTTTTAAATAAAATTAATTATAATGGAATTGTAGAACTGATTATCTAGCCATGAGATGGTATGGATTGTGTGTTTATTAAAAAAAAAAAAAATTAAACCTCATTTGTTTAATCAGAATTCATAAAGGCTGAATGAACAGGAAATTATAAGCACAGTCTGCATTGATTTCTTAATAAAGAAATTTCAGGAATTGCAGAGTTAGAATCCAAATCAACATTCACAGCAGACAAGTATTAGACTCCAAATGTTAAAGAAAGGCAGGAGAGAGGGAAGGCCTCCCTACTCATGGACTGGGAAGTGTTTCATTTTAGTTCAAATTGTCCGTGACTCTGTCCAGTTTATAAATGGCTTTCTAAGAGTAACAACTTTTCCAGTAACCACATACATCTCTGCAGCTTTGTGTAGAGTCAGTTCTGCCCATGGAAGGTTACAAGCAGAGCAACRCTTTAAAACCTGCATCAAAATTAGYATYGTCTGATGCAGTTTTAAAATGGTTTGATAGAGTGTTCAGTAAATTGAAACAAATTAAAAATTACTGTTTAGTTTGATTTAAACCAGGATAAATTAATGAATGAACAAAAAATCTGCMGTGAGAAACAATGGAGCAGAACAAYSATGGGAAAAYAGTGGCAGGTGTGTAAAATACAAGACATAGTGAAAAMGTTCAATTCCACCAGTTACTTAAGAAGTTTGGATAATTCAGTTTAATATGGACTGAATTGTACCTTCAGAATATTTTCTCTGTGTCTGTTTTTACCCAGAAAGTTTCTGTTCTGTAATAAATTTTTTTACATTATACTCAAACACGTTCTCAGTAAGTAGTACAGCTTAGCTGTGTATATTGCAGTTGGTATTAAAAGAATAATAAATAGTTTGAAACTAAATAATTAGAGAACATTTAGAGAAGGGCATGTAAAAAAGACCAACATCAGAAGAGTCTAAAGTGATGAGATCTTTGGAGATGTAAGATTAATTTGTTTAAATTAAGAGGGACTTATTTTATATGAAAAGAAGATAGGCTTTGTTGTTGTTTTGGGGTTTTTTTTTTGTTTGTTTGTTTTTTTCATTCAAAAGTGTCACTGAAGCTCTGTGATTTTCCATGACTAAACCCCCAAATATTYAAAGCTATGGTTTATTTAAATCAACAGGTTTGAAATTTCCTTAGCTGAATCTTTATCTTACATTTTCATTTTATTGATGTAGATTGAAGCAAAATTGTTTATTTCATTCTAGGAAACTTGGATAGCGAAAAAGAAACCGATTATTTTTCAAGTTTAACCAAAAACCAGCAAGGCACATGCCTTTTTTTTTTTTTTTTTTTTTTTTTTTTTTTTTTTTTTTTTTTTTTTTTTTTTTTTTTTTCTGTCATGTCCCAGGGACATGAGATTTTGCAGTGTAATTTTTGTACCAACTTTATTCTCCTTGCCAACTGAGGGAAATTAATGGCCAGTATTGGGACCTCTTTTGCCAGATCATTGTTTTTGTGTCGATATTAAAGATTTTCTCTCCACATCTTGCTCAGTTCTTCTGCAGCTCCTCGCAGTGATCCCATTGCACACCCCAAAATCATCCCAGCACCTCCACCTGGGATTGTAGGGCTCAGGCTTTTTTTCCTGGTGCTTGCTCCAAGGAATGGCTTCTGAATTGGGAAGTAAAGGGAGATGAAAGGTCAGGAAATGTGAATTCTGACATGCCAGACTTTTGAGCCAATAACACTTTGCTTCCCCTCCAACCATCACCTTCCTCAGATATATTTTATTCAGTCTTCAGAGAAAGGATGGACATTGAGTTATTATACCAGGTTATTGTAAAATTACTCTTGTTATCAATGTTGTTGTTTAATTAGCATTTTGTACTGCTTTCTCTTGCTTATGAACAATTATTTGTTATTTAGTAAAATAATGTTTTGTTCTTATTTTTTAAAAATCTTGATATTGCAGAGCATTAAGGATAGCCTGGGGAGACTTCAGGGTCATATAGAAATTATTAACAAGAAGAAGACACCGGCTTTGCAAAGTGTGTCACCAAAGGAAGCAGCAAATATACAAGAAAAGCTGACTCAACTTAATTTTGAATGGGAGAAAGTTAACAAGAAGTACAGGGACCGACAGGCGTAAGTAACTTTTAAAACTTGCTCTTTCTGATGGCCTTCATTAATATTTGGCATATTGTTCATGATTGGGTTTTCTTCTTCTTTTTGTGGGAATATCTTTTAAAGTCACAAAAAATTTTCTTCTTACTAAGCACAGAGTATTTATATAGAATTGTAATTTAATTTTTGGGCATTTTGGCTGAAATATTTTGACCACCTATCACTTGCATTGGACCACAATCTCACATCATATTGCAAACATTCCTATGTCATTACAGATGGCATCCACTTACCCTGACATAGTTTTAGGCATTTAGTATTTTATACCTTTGTTACTGATTTCAAAATTTCAATATGTGATGAGTGCATCAGAGTAAAGCCCCTTTTAACTGCAGAATGTTTACGAGTTTGAGGGGCAGTTCTCACTTTATGTCTAAGGAACATAACTAGAATTGTTAGCTGCTCTAAACTTTGTGTCATTGTTTTATAAATTTGTATATTTCRCTTTATAAAGCAAGGCTGGACAATCAAGAGAAGCATAGAAACACATTAAAATTATAATAAATAAAGCTTTCATCTTTGCAATATAATATAATCATTTTTCTACTTGTATATTATTCTGATGTTGCAATCTGAGAATCTTATACAAAATAAARCCAAAACCTATTTAACATCTTAGGCATGGTTCATGTTTAGGAACACCATAAAGGCTAGAAACCTGTAACTTATTTGTACTCTGTAGCAGAAAGCCAATATGTACCAATTTTGGCTCGTGCAGTAAAAGACATAGGTTTACATTGCTTCTTTTTTTTTTTTTTTTTATTAGATGATATGTCAGTTGTTACTGGCAGTGATACAGAAATTACTATGGTTTATAGAATGTATCTGGTTTTTTTTCCAGCATGAGTTATTTAAGAGTTAACAAATATGATTGCCTTAGATAAAAAGTCATARTTTCAAGCATTTATTGAATTACCACAGAAAAGTCCTTGACAATTATTCTGAGAAGGAATGACATTAATCTAATAATGAAAACCATTTATACGTCTATATATATCACTAGTTCCATTGATTGAATATATATATATATATATATATATCACTAGTTCCATTCATTGGAACTTTCCATTCATAGGAATTTTACCAAATTGGCTCTTCATGAAATGCTGAAAGCTTGACATTGAAAGTTTCATCTGGTATGCCACCTCAAAAGACAATAGATTGATATTTGATAAAATATCACTTTTTGCACTAGACATATGTTTGGAAATATCCCTTATCTAAGAAAATGTTAAAAACTTTGTAATTATTATACAAAATATTAGCTTAATGTTCAAATAATTATTTCATTGATAATAGAATGAGATATTATTCTAAATATTTAAGCAGTAATTGGAAGAAAAAAAGTATTTCATGTGGGTTTAACCTGCACTGACTTTGTTCTGCAATCCAATCCTTGGTAACTTTTATGTTTTCTTTTTTTAGAAATATTGAATATTGGAAATATTGGAATATTATTTAGAATATAAATCAGATGCCACTTTGCAGATATGTGCAGACATATTATTTCCATTGTCAGCCAGTCACTAACTTTGATTTTAGATTGTTGGAGAGAGAAGAAAGTAAAGCTTAAAAAAAAATGTAYATAATCAGAGTGATGAATAGTGAAAAATCTAAGTCAGTAATCTTTGTCACATCTGCTTTGTCTCAACATTAAAAGTGTAAGAAACTGAGACAGATTTATAATGTGGTAAATTTTACAAATTCTTCTTCTATGCCTGTTTTTTGGGGTTTTTTTGTTGTTTTTTTTTGTTTGTTTGTTTGTTTTGTTTTTTAAAATAACAAGTCTGGTTTTGACGTGGTATGAAAATTTTTTGTTAGTCATGATGCCATATACAAAAATGCAGGGTAAGTTCGAAAATAGACGTAAGGAAATCTTGTCACACCGATAGTAAAACCAGGAGATATTTGGTGTTGTGCTTTTCCCAGAGATTGGCTTTGCCCAAACTCTTGCTGATTTGGTACACCAAGCTCTGAGAAACCTTTGGAATCTCCTTTCCCTGGAGACTGGCTTTGCCCAGCCTGATTCTGTTTTAGAATAGTCTGAGAAWCCTTTGGAATCTCCTCATGTGCATTTTCTGCCTCTGGTGCACAGCAAGGACAGCGATTTACTGTTAGTTGAAAGCTTGAGCTATCATCACTGACACTCAATTATTCCTTATTTAGGCTAYAGTGGTATTTAGCCAGCAGCAGAAGTCTTGTGAGGTGAAATGAATTAGTGTTTGTCAAGTATTTTGGGGTCATCAGATGAAGGCACTGGAGAGCTGTAGAGTATGATTACTGTCCAGCTGGCTTTTGCCTGGGGGATTTATCCTCTTTTAATATGATGRACAGCAACTCAGGGTGATGATAATCTTGACTACTGTCTGATTTACACGCTTTTCTATTTTTTAATTTTTGGGTTTGGTGTCAGTCTTAGTGTGGAAATATTTAAGAGGTTCTRTTTGAACTCTGCACAATCCGTGTAGCTTCTGCTGTTTTGTGAGGTGCATTTGGACTGGGCACAAATCCATGGGATGRGGTGAAGGAAGACAATATGGCCTTCAGCATTTTCCTCCAAGCAGTTTGTGTTTGTGAGGGGTGAAATATCAGTGTAACTCTGCCCTTGAGACAGGAGTAAAGCCGTGTTTATGGGATGTGCTATTGATGATGATGTTTAAGGACACTTTTGGAATTCTTATTGGAGCTGCCTTGCTTTCAAGGGAGTGTGTCTATGTGAATGTGAGTATTCCATGTTTGCAAGGTACCAGAAACAAATATACTGTCACTATGTTCATTTCCAAATGCTGGTTTTAGGAAATCAAAGGCTTGTAATAACATGGAAATTATTATTTAAATAAATGAAAAGTCAACTATCACCACCACACATGGAAGAACAAAACAAATTTCCTTACCCCTGTAGTTACTAGCAGAGAGCTTACTCTAAATCTCATAGCAGCCATTAGAAACTTTCGTGTTGAATTATTTTTATATGAAATTGATTTCCTAGAAGTCCTGATACATATCTAGATACTTTGTAATTAACTCTGGAGTGAGTTCCTTTTAATTAGAAATCAAAATAGATTTTCAGTTTGTTTTATAGCAGAGCATGAGCCAGTTTGACAGAAATACACTATGATGGTAAGCGTTCAAATAGCTTTACAAGTGCAGTTCTTCTACAGTATTTGAAAACCTTATTTCGCATTGCCACTTTGGCATGTTCCCTCTATTTAAATAAGAGTTCATATTGTATTTATTCTAAGATAACAGGAAATATTTCATTGAAGAAAAAAAAAAAAACAAAAATTCTGTGGTCATCCTAGAGTACTCTTCCAGTGGCTGTAGAAACCGAGGATGAATGCAAATTTTTACTCTTTCACAAACACAGTGAAACACTACTCTTCACTTACTAATTTTTAAAGTCCAGCCTAGATCTAAGTCTGGTTCTTTGAAAGGAGTGAGTTTCTTTTCTGTTTGAATTAATTTCAAAACATGGTAACTCGTCCCTCCAACAGATAAATGGGAATGATATCATCTTACCCAAGTAAARTTTGATTCCTTGGTTTCAGTCTTATTCGTGCAAAGCAAACTCCAGGAAACAGCAGTGGCATAATTTGTCTTCTGTGAGCTAAAGAACAATCTATGATTTAATTTATAACTTCAACCTTTGCTSGATAGTAAATTTTTACTTTATCTTTTCCAACAGTTGTATTAAGRTAATAGAATCTGATTTTTGAAAGGTATAGTTAAATTTCAGTGCCAGTAAGAACAGCCACTCAGATGTCATGGTTTTTCCTGTCCCTGCACCAGAATTTCACAATAGTCTTCCTTCTTTCCAGCAGCCTTAAATCTGATTTTTTTTTTTTTTTGTATTAATCATGGTTACTTAGGAAGTGACACTAACACCAGGTTCCTCTTCATCTTAAATGAAAACATATAATTTTGGGGAAAAAACCACAAAGAGACAATAGAAGGTAGACTCTTAAATGACTGTCTTATGTAACCTTTTATCTTATCAGTGTACCACCTGTGGAAGATCTTGTTTGTCTTTTCAGGATATTGTCTTCCCAAGATATTTATGCCTAAGTCTTGCTTCTGTGAATAAGTGCTCCTCCTTAAAAATGAAACTTTCTAAAACTGCCAGAAATCATTGAATCAGTGTAATRCCACAAACTTTTCCATGATAGATGTTAATTTGAAATATTTCTACAAGGCAGAAAACATTAGAAAAATACTCAAACAAATATAAATAAAAATAATGAAATTTATAGATAATGTAGATATTGTAGACCTTGAATCTGTTTCTTGATGATGAATTAAAATTCTAATGGATCTCTCATATTCATGTCAGGCAACTAATTTTTGCCTTTTTTTATGTCTTATTTAAGAATTAGTTTCCAGGGCCTACATTACAGACTATATTAATGCACATCTAATTAATCTCAAATCCACTAAAAATTAAGTGTGYGAGAATGTGGGAGAGTTGATACCAGATATCTTTAGAAAGTGTTGATAATTCTGAAAAGTGGAAAAAAGTGATTTGCCCATCTGATATATCAGAAAATATAGCAAATCCATAATAATGATAATAAAAWGAGATTGATGGCTTTATAAAACTGACACACAACTAGCAATTTTTATAGTTACAAGAGCAAACCATAAAGAACTAGTTAACAGGCTTATTCTAAGAATGAGTTTCATTTTTGGATAACAGTACAACTGTCAACTTTTTCTGAAAAAYCTTAAATTAGCTGTTGATTAGCTTGGTAAGGCCTAAGGAAAAACATTTATTATACATAAAAAAAATTGATTCAATGTCATAGAAATAAAATTTTGTGGTAATATTTCTAACACTGCATAGAGCAGATGTCATAATCCTTTAGTGATATATTCTGTTGAGTTGAAAACYAATCTGATCCATGGATCAAGATATTARAAAAARAAATGAAATACATGAATTTTTCAAATRTAAGTAACCTGCC